TTCCTGCTTCCCCTCATGGTCTGGACTTTCTCACTTCTTTACCCTTTGTCTTTCTCGTGGAGTCAGACTACATCCCAGGTCTCAAAGGGGCTCCTTAGCCTGAGCCTGAGTACCCTGCTTACTCATGGGCGGGCTGCATCTACCACCTTGCTGCCTCATGGCTGCCGCCACACACAGCTCTCGGTTTCCCACTGTCTGTGGAGCAGACTCCAGGGCCATTCATGAACTGGCCTTCAAGGTCTGAAAATGGTAAACCAGAAGCAGGTACCAGTCAGGAGCACAGCCAGGGAGGGAGATTTCATGTGAAGGAAAGGTAACGCCTCTGGGTGGCTTACATTTTGGCTCCCGATGGCTCACCCACCTGGTCAGCGGTTCCTATACTCGTTGGTCTTATGGCTTTTTCTTCCCACTTTCACGTTTTTTCTTCTAGTGACCCCTCCCCCATATTCCCCTCCATCCAACTGTCCCGCCTTCCTGAATGAAGCCGGTGTGTTCCTTCTGCACCTTCCTTGTGTTTCTCTACCCGATGCGCCTCTATGTCAAGGATGCTTCTGCGTGGCCTCGGCCCTGGCCTGTAGGAGTCACGCTTGCAGAAGCTGTCACTTAGCACACCCTGTCACTGAGCGATGTGCGACGGGATATGTGAGTCCCGTTTCCTCTTTTGGACCGGGAGTGTTTGAAAGGCAGGGGTCAAGTGCCACCTTGCTGTGTTTATTCCAGAGAGATCCCTGTGGGCTGAGGTGTGATTAATGCGACTGATAGCGGTCACTGTGATGTGAAGATCTCCCTACCATGTGCGGCAGGTAAGTGTGGGTTTGAGCGTTAGAGCCAAGTCCTGTTGATCTGGTTTAAATGCTCGATGTGGGGACGTGATGTGGCTCTGATGTGACTCCATTTCTTCTCGAATAAAGTAAGTAGCTCCTTCGGGCGGGCGGCTGATTCAGGGATCCAGCTCCACCCACGGGCAGGTCATGTACCTGTCACAGAAGCTCACTTCCTGGCCGAGAACCATCACTTCCTCTGTCCTCGGTTTCCTCTTTGTGTCCTTTCCCTCTGCTAGTTGTTGTGTTTGGGTTCATTTGTTGGTTCGGGCCTTGCCAAAGAAACTTCAAAAACAGCCGCTGCCAACCAGCAAGCCCATACTCAGGACTGTCGTAAGCAGATCTACCCAGCATTCTGGCTGACTAGGCAATCGCTGCCTGTCTTGGTCCAGCGTTTGGCACAGCCAGTCCCTTTCAGTTACCGTATAAATCAGCTCGTAGCTGGGAGAGCCTTCTTTCATGCCTCCCGCCTACCCAGCCACACAGGAAGTTGCTGGGCTGATATTTTCAGGGCCTTGGACTCCCTCTGTTTCTTCCTCAGTTGAGGGAGGAAGAAGCGTCCCCGTGGAAGCCCTCTCTGTTTCCCTAGGTTAAAGTTAGGAGTTGGATTGGGCCTTCATGCAGCAGCCTGCTTGACGCCCCCAGCTGTACTTCCGTCTTACGTCCACTACGGTTCTGTTAGTGGTCCCACAAGCTTCCAGCTTGGCGCCCAAAGCAGCCCGAGTTCTCCCCCAAGAGGAGTACAGCAGTTTCTCTGTGGGTCTGTCCCCCACCAGCAACTTGCGTGTTCCTGGGGCCATCCCTTTCCTGTAGCAGTAGACAGCTCAGAGAATCCTACTGTTTTTTTGAGTTTGCAGGGTCTGGAGCAGACTTGGGAACCCATCTGCAATGCTTTGTGGTCTGTCTACCCTAAACTGCTACTTCTGACTTGTAAATATTGCTACAGAAGGTCCATCACCGACCCCAGCGTCCCAGGTTCTCAAGTCCCCCAGAATTCAATCCTTGTTTCTTTCTTAATGACAGCTGGTTGAGCTGAATACCCAGGACAGACCTATTGTTCTTTGAGAGATGGCAATAGACAGCAAAGCTTAGAAAAGATGAGTGGGCTCAGGCCTGGAAGGGGTCCCACTCCTGTGCACTGGGATCACTGCAGACCACAGTCTAGGGAGGGGTCCCTCTCCTGAGCACTGGGATCACTGCAGACCACAGTCTAGGGAGGAGCAGTTTCCTTTTGAGTGGGAGTGGGAATCACCATAAAAGGCCTAAGGTATTTCCCCCTCTTTCCCCTCTTTGAAAGTCCCAGGTCCTGCTGAGAGTGACTAAGATGAAATAAAAGGGCACACTTTCTTTTTTGTGGCAGTGGGGAATTGAACCTGGGGCCTTGCCCATGCTGTGCCTCTGAGCTCACCTGTAGCTGCTCTGGGTTTGAAGGAAGGCATCTTTGGAAGTCTGTAGGTGTGGAGAAGGCAGCTAGCTAGGTGAAGTAATGCTCCCAGCTACTCCTCAGATGGAAAGCAGTGGCCCGTATTCCACTGAGGCTGGGAAAGGGCAGGCAAAGTCCCAGGTCTCCCCTCAGAAGTGCATAATCGCAGGACTCACCCCTGCACACCCCTCAGAAATGGCTACCACACCCCAAGGTGCACACAACCTCAGAAGGTGGGACATCCTGGGGAGCCTCCAGTTTCTCAGAAATGAGTTTACTTGACTGACGATGAAGGGAGCTTTTTCACAAAGTTATGAACGAAGATGTGATGTGACAGGCACAAGGGGCACTTCAGAAGCGAGAGGACAACTGGTCCGAAAGGCCTTGCTGCGAGCGGAAGGGGAAGCCATTCCCCAGAGTCCCAGCCTCAACTACTGGCTCTTTCACTCAGTGAGTCAGGGTTGCTGGAGTTCTTGTTTTGGGGTTCTTGGCTCATACCTTGATCGGTTTATGACCTTAGCTGTACCTAACTTTATTTTCTAAAACAAAATGTATGTGCACAGTCGAAACCCCCAAATCCCTAAAAGGGGACGCCCCCCTTCGTCTTCAGATCCTTTTCTGACAAGCCCACTCGTCCCACAGAGGTCCTCTAGGTAGGAGCAAGGACCAACCTCCGGAGTTGGCCCCGCGACTTTGGAGCTGCGTGCTCCCTGCTGCGAGCAGGGACAGCGACCTGGGCAGGAGCGCCTTGACCTCACTCTCCCCTCGTCCCCCACCCCCACCCCAGCCCCGCGTCTCCGTCGGTCTTTACCTCCATGTCCTCCAGGTAGTCCTCCGGCGGCGGAGACGCCCGCTCGCTCGGGCAGGAGCTCGCGATCCCCGCTGTCTCCTCCGCTCCCAGCCCGGGGCCACTCTCGGACTGCAGCCGGCACAGGGCGAGTGGGCGGCGGCGCGCGCCTGGCTGCACTCGGCTGCGGGACTGTCCCGGTCGGGGGCCCTGCGCCAGAGAACGAGGAAGGAGGAGGAGGAGGAGGAGGAGGAGGGAGGGACCGAGGGACGCAGGAGGAGGGGAGGGCAATGGAGGGGAGCAGGGAGGGAGGCCGGATCGGGGTTTAAATTTAGACACAAATCTAAACAGATACTGTCCCTTCCAGGGCAGGACTCAAGAGCCGGAGCCACGACTCCATTAATCTGCCCAAACATGGGCTGGGCAGCACCGCGCCCCCTTTCTCGCGAAGTTTCTCAGGACCCCGGGCTTTGCACGTTTTTCAGACCGCATCAGCTCTCCCTCTTTTAGCCCGCCTTCTTTATTTTCCTTGCCCCTCACATTAGAATTGCCTTTTCATTCTTTTTCTTTTTGCCATTTCCTTCTTTTCATACCCATCTTTGCAGCCTCTTCCTCTTCCCCTCCACATCCTTCTCTTTATTACTTAACTTCATACCTAGCTTTCCTGGATTCAGTAGCCTGATAAGAATACCTTTGTTTTGACACTTCTTTAACTGTCCACCTTCCAGGATTCCGTTTGCAAGAAACAGCTATCAGGTTGTCGATCTCTTATCTTTCTGTGGAGGAGGGGTGGAGGGGAAGGGGAGAGACGGAGGGAGGGAGGGAGGGAGGGAGGGAGGGAGGAACCCAAGCAAAGTTTTCCAAGTTTCCTGTAGCAGCAAGCTTCTCTTCACATCTGCCCTGATGCATGCATGCCTGGGGTTTGTGGGAATATCTGCTCCCACGGGCTGCTTGCTAAAGGACCTTTTCTCCATTCCTATTAAATATAGCAAAGGGCACGGTCCTAAACATCCGATTCACATAAGCCCAGCTTAGCAACTCTCCCCAAGGGAGGTCGGTTCGTACAGCTCTCGGACAGCAAAAAGCCTGTGTGGGAGGGATGTAGCGTCTTTGAATCTGTGCCAGGGCCATTATCTGCTACTGGATTATAGCTCTAGGTGCCCCTTCTGGATCCCATTTCCCCGGGGGAAATGCCTTCAGGGGACTGGCTGACAAGGATGCCTGTGCGTCTTCTTACAGCATCCCTCAACTTTGTCCTCCAAACCAGGACCTGCTGCTACGCAGAGGAGAGAGAGAACCAATACGGTGCCGGACCACAGGACAGGTGAACGTTGGTGCTGCCCCTATGCACGGAGCCCAAAGAGAAACCACTACCGGAAACCATCAGAGGACTCGACCACACTGCAGAAGGCTGTCCTGGCTGCTTCTCATCACGGCTGGTCTGTGGACTTTGAGGTCACAGGCCTTCTAAACCTCACTTTGTAAACCATGATGTCAGTTCATTGAACTCAGCAGAGCGTGGGGGCAAGAATGTGTTTTCAGAAGCAGACCGGGGTTAGACTCTAGCCCGCTGCTTTCTAGCTGTGCTCCTTTAGAAAAGCCCACTTACCCGATCTTCATTTTCTGCATCTTCACAGTGTAGCTGATGCTCTGGAAAGAGCGGCTATTTTAATAGTGCTTGTCTCATGCACAGGGTTCAGATGGACAAGCAACCCACAGTCCCTTTATTTAGATCCGTACATTCTGGGGCCCAGAGAAAGAGTTCCCATATTCTTATCTACACAGCTGCAAGCAGGGTTCTAGACAGAGATGGAAGCAAGAATGGAATGTCTTGCTGATCTTGAATTTTTGATCCCCCTGCCTCAGCTCCCTGATACTGGAGTGACAGGTGTGTGCCTCCAGGTCAGGCTGACTTTCCTCTTCTTCTTAGAGCCGGGGGAGCTCCTTTCCACTCAGAGAGAGCAGCACGAGTCTTCGGACTCCACAGGAAGGAGGGCGGAAGTGCCTACCCAGAAGAAACCGTTGGGCCTAGATAATATCACAGCCACCAAGGTGACACGCAGCTGCTCTCCTGCCCCACCCTGCACGGGGCCTCTCTGGGAACAGATGATCCACAGAACAAACACTACAGCCTCTTCATGCTCCTGGGGCCAAGCGCAAAGCGGGTGGTTGCCCCAGAGCCCCGGCAGGGCCCTTCTCCCAGGGGAGGAGCAGAATGGGACAGGAAAATCCAGAGCTTCTTCGAGCAATCTGGAGTATGTGTGGGATGTATTCTCCCTTTATCCTCCCTCCCACCTCTGGAGAATATCACCAGAAAGCAAGCGGAGACAGACAGTCTGCTAAGCAGCCAGCTCTTCTGACAGCCAAGGGGAAGAGAAAGTGGCTGGTCTTAGCCCTCCTCTCTCCACTCTCCAGGGTCTAGCTGGCTCAGAAGGACCCACTTCCTCCACACTCAACCCGGGCTTCCCCTTTACAGTACTCTAACAAATCTAAACCAGCCAAGCCAGGAACGGAGGCAAGACTATGGAATAGCAGTGATGCAGCTTGAGCCAGGGAAGGGCAGGAGAGGAGGGCCCATGTATACAGGCAGCCCTCGTGCATAGGTTGTCAAGAAAAACTCGATGAATGACTATGTGGAAAGATGAACGAAGAGCCAAGTGGATTGGTAGAATCTGTGCATGTAAAGAAAAGGCGGAGCTGTTCAGTGAGGGCACCGGCACCTGCGCCCGGTCCTAGGGGAAAAATGATGTCGTGAAAGGGAAGATCATCAGAAGCCGTAAATGGTAACCAGGTAGATCGATTACAAGCAGAAATGCAAGGGGCTCCAGTTAGTGACCTCTTTGTAAGTGGCTCTCCTGGGTGGCTGATCACTTAATGAATTAATTTCTTACATCTGAGGTAGGGTCTCTGTTATCGATTCTGTCCCTGTAATAAAATGTCCTCACCCACAACCACAAAGGGGCTGTGGGGTTATCGGCTTACAATCCCAGGTTGCGGCCCATTATTTTTAGGGAAATCAAGGCAGGTGCTTAAAATACCACATCCCCAATCCAAACCAGAGAATAAACACATGATCCTTGCTTGCTCTGCTTGCCTCCTTCACTTTACACAGTTCAGGCCCAGCCAAGGGAATGGTGCTGCCCACAGGGGGTTGGGTCAATTAACAACCAAGACAGTCCCGCCACAGACATACCCACAGGCCAACCTGAGCCAAATCATTCCTCCCTGAGACTCCTCCTAGCTGGTCTTAGGTTGTGTCAAGTTGACACTGGAGACTAGCCAGCGTAGCCTCTCTGTGTCCCAGGCTGGCTTCGCCCTGTGACCTACCTGTCTCAGGTCTGTGATCACAGGTGTCTACCACCACTCCTGGATTATTGATGGTCT